ATATTTACAAATGGGCAAAACAAAAGCTTTTTTAATAAACATTAAAAACATGAATAAATTAATTATGGTAATTCTAATAAACACCCCAAGGAGATCTGCATAAAAATAGAGAAAACAATAATTTATACAATAAACTAATAAATCTACCCAACATTAACAGCATTCAGTTCCACTGATTTAGAGTTGTTACATTCATAAAAAAGTTAATTTTGTGACCAAATACAGAAAAAAACATAACTGGTGCATATATTACGGTTTTAAATGATGCATAATTTTATCTATTATAAATAAAATTATTACTTTAAAACCAAAAATTACTTTGAAAATGTTTTATTTTATTTGTATTATCCGTATTCCTCACTACAAACTGTCTGTTCATTGTTTTGGGAGGAGGTTGAGGACTGAACTGTGCATGTACAGACCCAGCGTTGTCATCGTTGAGTGCATTGTGCACAATATTTTTTTCCCAAATGTTGCCTTTATTGAGTGTTACAATGAACCCTGCTTCCCCTCTAGCTGTGGAGAGTGTCAGGTGAAAAGACAGCAGATAGCTGGAGAACAAAAGCACATCCCTCCATCACACAGGAATATGAAAGAGCATTGCTTGATTAAACCAGTTTATGTTCAACAAACAAGCGGATGTATAAAAGAAACATTTGTCAAGGACTCTCTCTCTCACACACACACTGATCAGCATTTGACGCACATACTATGATGCATACATATTCACACATCTGTTGGGGTCTTACAACACACACGTAAAAACAAAAGACATTGATTATCTAGAAGAACATGACTCCTACCTCTCCAACTCGCTGTCGCAGGTGTTCTTTTATTTTTATGTGTGTAAAGACGTCACACACGCCAATTGCTTTTACTCACAAACAGGAAGTCACACATCTCCCTTAGGAAATCCCAAAAATGTTTGTTGCTGTTGATGCATCAGCATTTTAGGCACATAAAGGACTTTCCGTAAACAAGCTTTTCATTTCTCGTTATTTCAATCGTTCGATGAGTCTCTTCTTCTCTCTTTTCACTCCCTCTCCCTCCTGTTCTCTGCCCAAGGCCTTTTGTGTCTTTGTACAAAATTGCCATGTTTCGTCTTATTAGTCACCCCAAAGAGCAAAAAAAAGAAGAAGATGTGTCAGAATAATTAAAAGGAACACACAGAGAACAAAAACAACCAAACAAATGAATAAAAAGCACTGCTGAGCCACAGCTGGTAAAGTGGTGTTTCATTTATTGAGGAAAGGAAAATAAACCAAAAGAATCTCAGTCAGGATTCCAGTTCCTACGAGAAACCTTTTTGGTTCTGCTATGATAAAGTGCACTTACAGTTATCACACTTTCCATTAGAGTTTGAGTCCTGGTATTTCTCTCTCAGACACACAAACACACACATTGTACATCTCTTTTTTTCTGGACCTAAAAAAATACACAGAATAAAAGACAGGTGTGTTTTTGCATACAAGGTGTGTAACTGACAGTCTAATCGGTTTTTAACATATCCAGATGTTCATGTATGTGTGTGTGAGGATTCAATCCACAGTATTAAGTAGTTACAGTACTTTTAGTTTAGGCTACTCTACAGAACACACTTCAAAATCATCCCGGTCACCATAAGTGACCTGATTGAGATCATACCATCTCTGACAAACACTCATCAGCTTTTAATTTCTTCATTTGCAACCATGCCTTCCCCTCCCCATGCGAATAGTAGGTCAATTTGAATAGAATCATCTAGTGTTTTAAAGATGTGTCAGAATAATTAAAAGGAACACACAGAGAACAAAAACAACCAAACAAATGAATAAAAAGCACTGCTGAGCCACAGCTGGTAAAGTGGTGTTTCATTTATTGAGGAAAGGAAAATAAACCAAAAGAATCTCAGTCAGGATTCCAGTTCCTACGAGAAACCTTTTTGGTTCTGCTATGATAAAGTGCACTTACAGTTATCACACTTTCCATTAGAGTTTGAGTCCTGGTATTTCTCTCTCAGACACACAAACACACACATTGTACATCTCTTTTTTTCTGGACCTAAAAAAATACACAGAATAAAAGACAGGTGTGTTTTTGCATACAAGGTGTGTAACTGACAGTCTAATCGGTTTTTAACATATCCAGATGTTCATGTATGTGTGTGTGAGGATTCAATCCACAGTATTAAGTAGTTACAGTACTTTTAGTTTAGGCTACTCTACAGAACACACTTCAAAATCATCCCGGTCACCATAAGTGACCTGATTGAGATCATACCATCTCTGACAAACACTCATCAGCTTTTAATTTCTTCATTTGCAACCATGTCTTCCCCTCCCCATGCGAATAGTAGGTCAATTTGAATAGAATCATCTAGTGTTTTAAAAATATAATTTATTTCTAACCAATATGTCTACATAATATTTATGTACAGTTTCATGACACAGAAATATCTATTTCATTTTCCAGTTCGAAGGACTGTGAGTGTCCCACCACAATTTTGGCACATTTCTGTTAATTTTGATCACTAACGAAACAAAAGAACAGGCATGGAAGAGAAACGTGGTCTTAGTACCAATAAAACATCTTCAAACAACCACATATGCTCCTCTTTTTGAGAAACAAAACTTTGCTGGCATCACTGGGAAACTGCAAATGAAAGAACAACTGTCCAAATAATCAGTCAGCATCTGTCGAGCCTCGGGAAACAACAGGACAAACACAAACACTGCATAGTCGATCCCACATTGTGTTGTTACACAGTGTTCATACATCTATATTGCATGTAGTGTGGCTTTAACATATAATTACACATTATAATGTTGGTTGAGGAGTGTGAAAATACAGGTAACATAAACCTAGACTGGATGAATCAACACCATTCAAGCTCCTCTAGTTTTTTTTTCCTAATCACTTACTATACTGTTGTGCTGAATGTTGTGTGGACGGACAAAAAAGGCAAATACATAAATCATGTATATCAGTTGTGGGCTACTTTTACGCCGAGTAACACATTATTTCTGAGAGAATAAAACGGTAAATTAAACATTTGCCTTAAATAAAAACAAAAGAAATCTATACACTAAATAAACGGGAGTACCGATCAGTTGTGTTTCTGAAAGAAAAAAAAAAAGTGTAAAAACAAATGTTGGTGTAAAATGAGCATGGAATGTTTATCTTGTCCCTGTATTGCACCTTGTTTCCCTTCAGAGACTATTTCAAGTCAGTCTCTCCCATTTATATACAAAATTAAATGTAAAAAAAAAACAGGATTATGGTCTTTTATGAAGTTCCCCATTTATCCGAAGTCAGATTCTCTCCTGACTGAACAACGTATATTAAACAGTAAAAGCCCTCTCAGATAAAAGCCACTCACATCACTAAATTGAAGTAATTGTGTGCATGTTATTATCGTAACAGCGACAACCTATCAGATACTTCGATAAGCCCTAAACCTAAACTTTACTGACCGCATTGCAGTAATCTCAAGACTGGTGCATTTCAAGTTTCTCCTACCACTGATCTCACATGTTCAAGACTTTCATGTATTAAAGGAATAGTTTACCCAAAGATGAACGTTTGCTGAAAATGTACTCGCCCTCAGGCCATCCAAAAAGTGGTTGTGCTTGTTTCTTCATCAGAACAAATGAGAGTCCATGCAGCTGATAAAAACAATGATCCACAAGAAATCCACACGACTCCAGTCCAGTAAGTAGTTTCTTGTCTAGCAAAAAGCTGCATGCTAGTAATAAATTCATCGACGTTTTAAACTTAAACTGTTGCTTCCAGCTAAAATACGAGTCTATATATTTCATAACGCTTCCATCAAAATTCACTGATATATTTGCTTATAATTGCTTTGACTTTTGATCCGTTCATATTTCTCTCCTGATTTTTTTCAATTGATAAAGCAAATATTAAGGACATTGTATTCTAGCCGGAAGCAATGTTTTGAAATTACAACATCTTAATGATGGATTTGTTTTTTTACAAACTCACTTTACACTTTATCTTTACACTTCACAAGCTGTTAACTGGAGTCATGTGAATTACTTATTATTGTGATGTTTTTATCAGCTGTTTGGACTCATTCTGACGGCACCCATTCACTGCAGAGGATCCATTGGTGAGCAAGTGATGTAGTCTAATGCTAAATTTCTCCAAATATGTTCTGATGAAGAAACAAACACGTCCACATCTTGGATGGCCTGAGGGTGAGTACATTTTCAGCGAATTTGTGGGTGAACTACTCCTTTAACACCTCAAAGTAATGATAAAATGAAATGCCACATCATTTTGCTTTGTAAAAATGACCAGGGACCAAGTTACAACATCTATTTAGGAGAAAAAAATATGTATTCAAGCCAACTGGAGGAAGTAAAGCAGGAACTAAAGGGGAGACTGAAGCAGACTGCTTTGTGGGATGAAGTCAGACGGGACCAGCAGATTTGGGTGAACCTTAACAACAAGAGCTGACTGCAAGGTTGTTAACACTTGTAACTAAGTAAATAGTACAGGGTGAATTCACTAAATAAGTTACTCCACTTTTACAGCATTTCAGCTTAACCCTTGTGCTATGCTGAAAACCTTTTATCTAGTTTGGTGGGGTCTTTAAAAAAATTGCTTCGAAATATTTCAATATGCTATATTATCAGCAAATCGTGGATTTAATCTACTTTTCTTTCAAAGAATTTTCAATGGTTTCGTAAATACAAAACCTAAAAGAAAACAAGTTGATAAAAAGACTGAATCCAATATTTCGAAAAAAAAAAACCCAGCATAATGGGAGATTTACAAGTAATTTTGACTGGCCTACAAAAAATCCTAGGAAACAAGGTCGGAAAAAAATCATAAAAAGGTACAAACATCATCAGTTATTTGGGGGGAATTTCCTATGTGAGCAAAGTCTGTAAGTTTTAATCAAATGCAATAACATTAAGTATAGTATAGTAGTATGTCATTCTGAAACCTTACATGCACTACCACACTATATCAATACACATCCGACACAATGACGCTCACCGTTTTTGTGCCTCTTGTTTGCTACAGCACATCTCACAGTAGTATTTATACTCACTGCACAGGGTCTCTGTATTACTGAAGCCCCTGTAAAAGCCACCAGAAAAAACACATCTATCAAAGAGCATAAACACAGAGGAAAACAACTGGTTGTGTACATAAGCATGCGTGACTACTGTTATGTTACAGTGTTTTTATATGTCTACCTGAGACAGTGTGTTATTGAAGTGTTCTGCTCAACATCTACAGACAAATCCAAAAAGTCTTCATCCTTGCTACTGACCTGTAAAAACAAAAGGACATGTGAGTTCACAAAGCATTTGAGAAAGAAGAGAACACATATCTTCAGAAAGTGTGATCTCGCCACCCACAGAGACAATATTAGCTGTCAAGCATCTTCAAGTGGCAGAGAGTTAGTGGGGACTCATTTCTACAAAGACGTTTATCACGCATGTTGGCGACCCCTTTCTACGAACACCCGTTTCAGCTGGCGAACGGGTTGCACTCTGTTGACCTGATTGTCTCATGTTGTCTTGCACTTATTGCAGAAAGCCACGAGTGAGGATGTGTGAGAGCACAGGCGTGTAACGGCGTGATAGCACTCAACTGTAGTCTAGCGGCAATGTGTTAATGCGAAGAAAAAGTAGGTTAGTCAACAGAAAAGACTGAAAAGTGGGTCACACGATAGAGAGATGGTAGTTTCTTTCCTCAGGCTGCAAAATTCAAAGCATTGACCGAATGTCGTTGTATAAGACAACTCACAATACAAAAAAAAAATCTAACAATCCAATGTCTGTCTAACAGAAGAGCACTCCGATATTTAAAAAAAAAATTAAATACAACTTTGCTCATACATTTACATATCCCTTACAAAATTTAGATGATTAGAATTTTATTAACTATATATTATTTTTCATTAATATTAAAAATAGGCATAAAAGAGTTCAGAATTTGGACATTGTTTCTCTGAATTCCAAGTTTACTTCTTGCAATTAAGATTCTTGTTTCGGCCATGGAATAAAAAAAAAAAATGTAACTGCGACTTTTTATCTTAGAATTAAATTTAATATCTTTAGTTTATATCTTGATAATTCTGTGTTTAAGTCTCACAATTCTGAGTTCATATCTCATAATTCTGAGTTTATATCCCATAATTTTGTGTTAAAAAGTCGCAATTATCTCTATTTTTTTTTATTCATTCGCAGAAACTGGCTTCCATAGCTGTATTAAATAAAAGCAAAAGAATACAATAAAATAAAATGCTGTAACACTTTAGTATAGGGACCAATTCTCAATATTAACTAGTTGCTTATTAGCATGCCTATTAATAACATATTGGCTGTTTATTAATACTTATTGCACATAGCAACACTCTTACCGTCTCACAGTTGAGACAGCGTGTCTCATTGGTCAGCGTGCCCTGGAAGATATCGTGAACCCAGGTGGGCTCGACCTTGTTCTGTTCTGGCTCGGTGTCCGTGGCGATGGCAGTGCCGTTGTTCTTTAGTCGTCCGTTCTGTTTTTCCTGTTTCTTCTCCTCTTGCAGGATGTCAGCCACCGTGTTCAGCAGGTAGTTCAGGAACTCGTGGGCATCCTGCTGCATGTAGTTATCAAACAGGTCTATAGGAAGAGCCAGAGAGCAAAACGTGTAACATTAGCTTGCAATCCTGCAAATGACTGTGAAGGAACTATCTGTAGACTAAAATGCCATTCACACCAAGAACTATAAAGATAAGTATAACAATAACTATATTAGCATCCACACCAATGCATGACAATGTATTTATTATAAGCAACAACTGATGATAGAATCACTGTAAATCACAATTGGGACGTATAAGGATAGGTCAAATCTACTTGAATGGGGAAAGTCTGAAATCTTCAAAAGTGTTTGACAAGATTATGTTTCAATAGCATATTTCATAACATCTGACACGGTCTCGTAAATTTGGCTTCTTAAGCACAAGTCCTGTATTTTTCAGTCTGTTCCAGTTAACTCTACTAAAAAGTAATTAACTTTTGTCTAGCATTTGCAATCATAAAGCTAACTCTGTGTGAGTGAGTATGTGTGTAGCTGGTGAAGGTACGTCTCTCTGATAGAGGTCTGTATTGTTCATTCATAGCGAGGGCATTTTCTGGAATGAAACAGAAGAACAAATCCTCTTTTATGCTACATATTATCCCTCCCCTCTCCCTCAAAACACACACACACACACGATCTGTTACACCTGCTTCTCCTTCAGTATATCACACAGAGGCTTTCTGTTATCATGGACAGGTTTGATTTTTCACAGTCTCCTGTCTGAACGCTAGATACTGCTCTAGTAGTTGCCTACAAACTCGTGTTGACACCTTTACCAGAAAACACGTTTGCATATATTGGATACACAAGATTTTACATTTCTCATAAACAACTGCATATATTTAACAAAATGACAACCAAATGTATCTGAAAACATTTGAGCAGTTTTGTGGGATTCTGGTATGACAAATTAGCAGTAAACAGATGCTTAGTAAGAGTGGAAACCATATTTAACTTTATCTGAAGGAAAAATGAAAAAGAAATACAGTCTGTTCAATGTCTTACTTTTGTGAATGTGTCATTCATTCAGTCAACATTGAAAACATCTTGTTTCCGCAAATTTCTGACAAGTCCGTTACCATTCATGAAGGTTACACAATGAAAGTGCGTCATTTGTAATCTGCCAATTTGCTAATGGGCACTTGGTTGTTGGCACCACAGGAATTAGGGCCCTATGATTTCCAAGATGCGGAACACACAGACAGAATTGAGCTATTATAGACATTAATGCAGAATTTGGCAAAAAAAAAAAAAAAGTTTTATGAATTAATTTGATTACCACAGTTCTGATGATAAATTTGTATTAAATCATAAAACTTAGAACCCTGAAAATATTAAAATGGAATTGGTGAAAAAAATTAAATGAATTTTTTATGATTAGACTTTTTGACTATTAAAATTTAATAAAAAATGGAATCCAGAAAAATTTTAATTGAAATTAAGGAATAAAAAAAATAAAAATAATCTGCGACATCCATTGAATGCTATTAAAAGCCCTTCAAAAATATATTGCCGCTCAAGATTTTTTATAATTGCTTTGGGTAAAAAGTCTTATACTCACCAATTCTGCTTTTATTTGATCAAAAATCATGTAAAATATTCAGAAATTTTATTACAATTTAAATGTTTTCTATTTGAATATATTTTAAAATGTAATTTATTCCTATGCAGGAAAAGCTACATTTTCAGCAGCCATTACTTCAGTCTTCAGTGTCACAGGATTTGCATTTAGTGTCACTTTTGACCAATTGAACATATTCTTGCTGAATATAAATGTTAATTTCTTTAAAAAAAAACTCTTACTAACCCCAAGATTTTGAACTAAATATATGTATATATAGATATATAATATTAGATGTTGCAAAATTATTTATTTGACCAAAATACACAGCTACTTTTGAATGAATGTCAATGCAGAAAGATGCATTTTGCCTTCATAATGGTGTAGTTACAGACAGTATCTACCAGCAGTGGTTAACTAGGCCATGTTAACCAGCCAAACCTCGATCCCTTGGTTCCCTCACCATTCTCCTTCCGCAGACGTGAGATGAACTTCTTGGGAGGGATCACGCCCACCTTCTTCTTCTGCGTGGTGATGCTGTGGAAGAGGTCGGCCAGACAGGTGAGAAGGTTCTCCTTCTTCTTCTGCTGGACTTTGTAAGCCAACACATTCTCCCTGAACGGCCGGCAGAAATACAGAGCCTGCAACACTGAGTTACAGTAGCACGTGTTCCCAAACTAGAGAAAAAGACAAAGAGAGAGGAATTAATTCAGGCTGAGCTCATCAATCCTTGAGCGGGAAACAAACAAAGGACACTTGGGACGCAATTAAATCTGATTTATGAAACCGAGAGATAAAATCTGGAAGAGTGCCAGGAAAGAAATGTGCCAGACATGGGTCAAACACAGAGAACCCCACCAAATGTGGATCTGCATGAGACATTTACAATCAAGAAAAACTCCCTGCTCGGCACTAAAAGCAAATAAAATGGCTGAAAAAAACGAATGGTGGAATCAAAAGCTCTTTAAAAACATGACCTGCACGGGCTGAAAGAGCAGCACTTGCTGTTACCGTGACAACAGAGCATTGTTTCCCTTCCAAAGGTCTTTTCCTGTTCCCTCACACTGACAATAGAGCTGTTTTAGGGGCTTTTTGGCATTTTTATTGACAGCGAAAGCAGAGAGAAGACAGAAATTTACTAGAATAAGAGAGGGAAACAGGAACAGGATAGAGATGCCATGAGTATTCGAAAGTGACAAAAATGACTGAACATGAAAACACAATAATAAACGTCGAAATGCAGTGATTAGGGGCAAATGGGCTGAAACTCAACACTTTGTGGTCTTATTAAAAGTGTTTTCAGGTTAACACATTATTAGTGCATCAATATTTTGCAGAGGTACTTTTTTCTTGGAAACAGTGTGTTTAGAATTAAAACTGTTTAACTGTCATCATGGTGCATGTTTTTTTTTTTTTAATCTCACCTTTGTTGACAAAGTTACATATTTAACACAGATCCCTAAATTCAAGAAGGATACAGATATAAACTTACCTCCAGGAACGCCACAGTTTTCTGCGTGGCATTCTAATATATACTCAGACACATCATTTTGGTATCAAACTAACCAATTCTCTCATTAAGCTAATTGCTTTGTTTTATCGTCACATTATGATGGCAATAAATACATTCTTAATTAAAATGAAAGCAATTCTAATTAGATCAGGCTGACAGTTTTCCTATAAATCTAAATAAAGAAAAATAATTATAATAACTGTGATAATAACTAAAAAATTATAATAACTGTGACCTAATTTATGTGAACCTCTTTCTAATCTAAATAAGTGACAGTAAGAACAATAACAACTGTGACCTGATTTCTGTGGATCTCCTGATGATTCACTGAATTAACTGCTCGGCAGCTTGACCTGAAAGATTCAGCTATAAGACTGAACAGTAACATGTTCATTAATCACACCAGCTGCACTAATGGCAGCAGGAATAAATTCAGCTTTGTCAAGCTGACATGTTCTGCAGTAAAATACCAAATGCTAATATAATTTGCAGAAGAGTACAAAATAAACCACTCACTTCTGTTGAAAATAACAAATTAAATGGTTAGCAAAGGTTGTGAACTGTGCTTTTTCGCCAGCTCAGTGAAACATTTCAGCTGGTTGCTTTGTTTCGATGCTGGGGTCTTCCTCAAATTTACAATGAATAATGTTGTTAGGTATGATAACATGCACAAAACTGAGAAAACCAAGCTACTCAATGCTTCACTGAACAAATATGCAAACCGTTACCATGTGGGTATAATATTTTTTTGCTCCCACTGGCTCACATGTAAAGCGATGTGTCTGTTTAAGGGTTAGACTGGTGCTGTGTGATACTTACGTTGACCAATCCAAAGTAGTGTTCATTAATAGGGAACTGCTCTGGACCAATGTCTTTCTCCAGAGCAGAGGCATTGGTGCCCTGAAACAGAAATTGAGAGAAAAAGTAAAAGGCTTGGCAATTACACTTTAATTTTACATTAAATATTCATTCTCATACATCACATTTTAAGACAAAGTGAGAAGACTCACAGCTAAAGACATTTATGTCTAAAGTTTTTTTTTCTCTAAAACTCCATGACGTGACATTAAGCCACCAAAATGAAAATATGAGGTACAAAATCACCATGTACTGCTGGAGAATGACTCGTTTATGATGCTGCAAGTGACACAATAACCTACGCTTCTTGTTTGCTTTTTATAGCACTATATCATTAGCAGTCGGTAAGACATAATTATGGCTTTCTTAATTCACATGCCATTGCCAAGTGTGGAATACTATCAATAAATATCCATGCTAAAAGTGAATACAGAGAGGTGTTCTGGTTTTAGTCATTTAGAAACTAAAAATTTTTTTTATACAAACAATAACTATGTTCAACTGCTTATAACATTCACAATAACTGCAAAAAATCCATGGGCAGTTAGGTATATGTTGTTTGAAATCCAAACCATTCAAACTGATAATCAAGGATCAAGTGTTGTAATGGTCTAATTTATCAGCAACTGGGTGACATGAATAATGGATAGAACAACTAAGCAGGATGATGCTGGATAAGAATCCATGACAGAATGTAACTGAATCAGCAGGACAAGCTAAGAGTTTCACTTTGGCCTCAGTACAATGGGACTCCAGACGTTTTCTCTTCTAACACTGAAACCAGTGACAGATCACAAGAGATAAATTCGCTGTTCAAAAGGTACTAGCCACATCTACGGTATGTATTACATGTATTCACTTTTTATTCTTTGAAATTTTACCTAGAAATTGCCAGAAATGTCACTGAATATGACAAAATGATAAAGTGATTTGAAGGCACGTCTTATATATTTATTATTGAGTAATATGTAAATACGGTGGTCTTATTTTAGCATGTTTAGGCATCAGACATTAGAAACCCAAGCCATTTTGCAAATCAGTTTCAATAAATGCAGAGGATGTTTTCAGTTCTGGCATTTAATGTATGTGTCATAGACTAAACAAAGGATTAGGGAAAATTTTATTCCATATGATACAACCCCTTTAAAATTTGAAGACAAAATGCTCCAATAATGAGGGATTACAGTGTAATGATATCATTAATAACAGCTCATTTTGAATTTGATGTTAGTTTTATTTTATTGCTTAACAGCCATAATTGTTCAAATTAAGAATGTATTTCAGGTTACAGATTAAAGTAGTGTAGTTTTGTATGGATATACAAATATAATTAAATATAATTATAATAATCATAAAAATTGTATCCCCTAAAAATGTAAAAAATGTGGCAATTTCAGGGGACATATTGCCCTTTATTTATTTATTTTGTTATTTTTTCAAAGAACTGCATGCTACGGTTCAAATGTTTGGGGTCAGTACGATTTTTTAAAAATAAATTAATACTTTTATTCAGCATTGAGACATTAAATTGATCAACAGTGACAGTAAATATATTTATATTGTTATATTGTTGATATTTAGACTTCCATTTTTTAAATGCTGTTATTTTGGACTTTCTTTGAACAACAAAAAGTATCACAGTTTCCACAAAAATATCAAGAGAAACGGTTTTCAACATTAATGATAATAATAAGAAACACTTACCTTAACTTAACTTAGTAATGGCTGCTGGAAATTCAGCTTAGCTGACAGAAATTAAGGACATTTCAAATACATTGAAATAAAATAAAAAAACTGTTATTTGGTCAATATTGTTTCTACTGTATATTTTAATCAAATACATGCAGCCGTGGTCAGCATAAAAGACTTCTTTTAGAAGCATTAAATACTTACTGACCCCAGACTTTTGAATAGTAGTGCTTATGACAGCCCTTTAATAACCCAACACATCTTTAGAACCCGAGTATCTCTGAACAACTCTGAATGAGCAGATCAGGTAATGACTAAAAACCACAATCAGATCCAGAGATCAAAGTCAAACACCAATGAAGTCAAGACCATGACTGACAGTTGAAAGATGGGAAATAGCCCATCTCGGTATCTCTGCATTGTCTAGTCTAGTGTTATTAACCCGACAGAGACAGCAACCTTTTTATCTGTAGGAAATATGAATCCACAGAGACCTTCAATTCCAGCACTAATAGATCTTCATTGCCTATTGAAATATAAATACGGCATTGTGCAAGACAGACTTAAGAGCTTGAATATTTGTAGGCCATAATAATTAACAACAGGCAAGTGATAGGCTGCATTTGTTCATGAGGGCTATCGAATCCTCTGAGCTCACAGGCTTTGAAAAATGAAGTGGCATTATGTTGGCTAAACAATGTAAAGATACTTTTGCCAAAATTTGACTTCATAAATAGGGGAATTTTCTTGTTGACTACATACAGCTAGGCCGTCTTTGTTTCTGCTTAGAAACCTTCCACAGCACATAAATGAGCATGTACACAAACACAAAAACATATAAGGCAATATATTGCCAGACACAGCTAATAGACAAATGTTCTCCAACTAAAGTACAGTTAATAGAGCCATGTTTTCAAACTAAAAGACAGGTCTGCATTTGTGCACACCAAATACACATTAATTGAGGCCATTTAAGCAGAACTGAACATAGAAGACATAAAGGAGAACATTTCATTAGCTTGCCTTGTATTCGTGGTCAATGAGCCACTAAGATGAGGCCCCAAACACACACCGATGAACAAATGAACCCTGTCCGGCCATTGGTTACATAACTAGCACTAAACAGCCGTCAGACGTTAAGTCTGTGCCCCCTCATGCTGGCAATAATTCACTCTTCTTGTTCCTAACCACATCTAGCTCAGACTGACACAATACCTGCAGTTATCTGCGGATGACATCTGACAGTGGATAGAGGCTTCAGGCCAGTTACAGGCCCTAAATATCGGATATCCCACAGAAACGACAGCATTACATAAAACACTGGGCTCTGCTCCCATTAGCCATCTTAAAACTGTTAAAATGGAAAAAGAAAAGCACTACAGAGAGATTAAGTACAAAATTGTAGGAACTTTCTTGCTTAAAATAAGTATATTTACAGTGATGGTCCGATGGTTCATTGTTCAATGTTCTGACATTTACTCTATCCTTAGTGCAGTCATGAAATAAAAATGACAAAAGCACTAGACAAATTACTAACACTAAAAAAAAAAACAAAAAAAATGAAAACATTAAAACAGAAGCTAATTCTAAATATTAGTAAATACTATAATAGTATATAATTAATACTAAAAATAACACATCTAGTTCATAATAGCAAGAATAAGACCTATCCAGTACTGTTCAGCTCAATCCCATTTCAGCAGATGACAGCTCACAAAGCTATCATATGACTTCAAAAGATGCTGCTGCTTTTAGGGTGTTGTTTACATTTTTTTGTTCATTCATTCAAAGTGCACAGAAAGAAGCGACCTGTACATTATAACAATTTTCATTTTGTGGGAACTATATTATTTAGAGAAGCTTCATATATTATAATATTTCAACAAGTAACATTTTTGAAACATGCTCATACTATCAAAATGACAACAGGGCAATACAGAGGCAGTAAATGTTTATGTAAAGCACACATACATTTTAACTGAAAAATGTGTGTTTACTATTGTCATTTTGCATTATTGACACTATTTTCCTAATTAATGCTGTTCAGTTGCTTTGTCACAATCTGTATTGTTAAAAGCGCTATATAAATAAAGGTGACTTGACTTGACTTGACATACACCCAGGAAGTTAAACAACTACAGAAAGCCCCCTTAAACACAGATTAGCCTACTAATTATCACTGTTTTATCTTTTCAAATGCAAGATTAACAACACAGATACTAACCTGAGCTATCACAACATAAAAAGGGCATCACTGATTCTGCTATATTGTAAAGTCAGTATACACTTCTAGTCTCAGTGTATTATTTGAGCGAGTAAATATGCCTAGATATGATAGAAGCTTCAGTACAGAGGTGAGCCATGCATACAGCAGCTCAGAAATGAGGTCATGCACCTGATTGTGAGGAAAGCCATTCAACCATCATCATTACGTAAGAGCTAGCCAGCACGCTATCCACACCTTATACTTACCATATTACAGATGGAGGCGATGTTCCTGACAGTCATTTAGTTTATAATGTGTCCCTCGTTGCCATCTTTATGAAATAAACATGACTGTAACAGCAGTACACTGACAGGCCAAGCCGCAATCCCAACCGAGGACAGCAATCAGTGACCATTCAATCCCCTCTGCTCATGCAAAGTGCAGACAACGCGAGAGATAAACGTCTGCGGCTTTCATCTAGTTGTTTTCTTCATGGTCACTGCAACTAAGGATAAAAATGCAGAATATATTTATTGTAAACATCTTTGCCAGTTGCACGGACTAAACAAAACATTCACATCCTGGATTAGCGGTCAAACCCCGCCCACTGGGACGCAATTGGTGCATTTGGTGTCTACGACATGAAACGCTGCTCAGTTGATTGACAGATTGAGTCACCAATGAATGTCGAAAACATGCGTTCGAACTATCGGTGTGGCCAATAGAATTTGTAGATGCACAATCCACAACTCCACACAGTACATTCAAACCGCATAAATGAAGTTTGAGGATATTGCAACGCTAAATGATATATTCTCTTTCAATCGGTAATATTTAAGTAACGTTACTCTTGTGCATTCCATACATTTATGCATATAAATAATATTAGGCCCCAGTAGTTTAAATGCGAAAGTATACAAATAATTTCTCGAGTAATAGTTTGTGAACATGGTGTTAGTGTACAGTCTTTTTTTTAAAAACACCGTCTCATATGCCCTGCTGATATTTTACCGCTAGACTGAGATTAGAGTTTAATCTTTTTCCATAACTTTTGAAGTGATTTGTTCATCAATCAGACAGAATCGTCCGAGCGTTTGTAGGAGTCGTTTTTATCTTTGAATGAACTACTAGAAAGAGCCGATTCGCTGGAATGAACGGTAGGCGGTCCTTCCGGTCTTTCCGGTCCTTCCCCTTTAAATATCCCAGAATTCCTCGCACCGGCGGTGGTCACACGTGTTCATTGCCTCTTGCACAAGATCACGCGATCGGTTGGCGACAGCATGAGCGGATGCAGTATGGGTGTTGGTAAGTGTCTTTGTTCAGATATTTGTATAGTTTCTTATTTACCTGAAGATATGCTTTGTTTTACACTTACACGTAAGCACAACATGTACACGTCGAATAGTCAAGTTTAGTTTATCAGAGCAGTTAACTGAGCTTTATAAGTGCATAGAAAGGTAGTAAAATAATTCTCAGAGTAAAACAAAAGATGCTCTATGAAAGTGTTGTACAGCTTGCTGCCAAGCCATGATCATAACTATAGAAATATTAAGTTGTGGCGGAAGGCCATGTGTGGCCTTGGCTCGAGAACGCACGTGGTGAATGTAAGGTCTGTCTGCTGATGTTGATTGCATCTCTTTTCTTTAATAGATTGTCCATCTAAACCCCCTGACTGAAGAAACTTTTTAAAGTTTCCACGTAAGGTAAGGAAGGGTTTAACTATTTTTAAGATTCTCATTCACTAACACAAGCGGTTAGAGAAACTGTCTCATTACTGTAGATCTTGCTTAAAGGAAAGCAGTAAAATTAGTATGCTTGTGTATTTTGATTGATTGTGCCCCTTTTTTTTTTTAATGTCTAGGCTCAAATATTGTTTCAGCCATGAGGCTACAGTTGTGCTGAAGAATCCTTCTCTAACTGTTATGTGGTAAGTGATTTAATTACACTATTTCTAGTTTTGTATGCCCCTTTTATTGCACATTCAAGTCCTATTATGTCTTGAATGATCGACACGGGGGGGCTAAATGAAATCTCTCAAAAACCTGAAGTATTGGCTTAATAATCCTTGCTTCGGATCCTGTCGGGAGAAACATTTTTTTGTGTAATCGTTAGCCTTGCTAATTGTGGTAAGATGCTTGCTAATCAGTCTAAATTTGTATTTTGCAGCTTCAGGGGACATATTGCCCTTTATTTATTTATTTTGTTATTTTTTCAAAGAACTGCACGCTACGGTTCAAATGTTTGGGGTCAGTACGATTTTTTAAAAATAAATTAATACTTTTATTCAGCATTGAGACATTAAATTGATCAACAGTGACAGTAAATATATTTATATTGTTATATTGTTGATATTTAGACTTCCATTTTTTAAATGCTGTTATTTTGGACTTTCTTTGAACAACAAAAAGTATCACAGTTTCCACAAAAATATCAAGAGAAACGGTTTTCAACATTAATGATAATAATAAGAAACACTTACCTTAACTTAACTTAGTAATGGCTGCTGGAAATTCAGCTTAGCTGACAGAAATTAAGGACATTTCAAATACATTGAAATAAAATAAAAAAAACTGTTATTTGGTCAATATTGTTTCTACTGTATATTAATCAAATACATGCAGCCGTGGTCAGCATAAAAGACTTCTTTCAGAAGCATTAAATACTTACTGACCCCAGACTTTTGAATAGTAGTGCTTATGACAGCCCTTTAATAACCCAACACATCTTTAGAACCCGAGTATCTCTGAACAACTCTGAATGAGCAGATCAGGTAATGACTAAAAACCACAATCAGATCCAGAGATCAAAGTCAAACACCAATGAAGTCAAGACCATGACTGACAGTTGAAAGATGGGAAATAGCCCATCTCGGTATCTCTGCATTGTCTAGTCTAGTGTTATTAACCCGACAGAGACAGCAACCTTTTTATCTGTAGGAAATATGAATCCACAGAGACCTTCAATTCCAGCACTAATAGATCTTCATTGCCTATTGAAATATAAATACGGCATTGTGCAAGACAGACTTAAGAGCTTGAATATTTGTAGGCCATAATAATTAACAACAGGCAAGTGATAGGCTGCATTTGTTCATGAGGGCTATCGAATCCTCTGAGCTCACAGGCTTTGAAAAATGAAGTGGCATTATGTTGGCTAAACAATGTAAAGATACTTTTGCCAAAATTTGACTTCATAAATAGGGGAATTTTCTTGTTGACTACATACAGCTAGGCCGTCTTTGTTTCTGCTTAGAAACCTTCCACAGCACATAAATGAGCATGTACACAAACACAAAAACATATAAGGCAATATATTGCCAGACACAGCTAATAGACAAATGTTCTCCAACTAAAGTACAGTTAATAGAGCCATGTTTTCAAACTAAAAGACAGGTCTGCATTTGTGCACACCAAATACACATTAATTGAGGCCATTTAAGCAGAACTGAACATAGAAGACATAAAGGAGAACATTTCATTAGCTTGCCTTGTATTCGTGGTCAATGAGCCACTAAGATGAGGCCCCAAACACACACCGATGAACAAATGAACCCTGTCCGGCCATTGGTTACATAACTAGCACTAAACAGCCGTCAGACGTTAAGTCTGTGCCCCCTCATGCTGGCAATAATTCACTCTTCTTGTTCCTAACCACATCTAGCTCAGACTGACACAATACCTGCAGTTATCTGCGGATGACATCTGACAGTGGATAGAGGCTTCAGGCCAGTTACAGGCCCTAAATATCGGATATCCCACAGAAACGACAGCATTACATAAAACACTGGGCTCTGCTCCCATTAGCCATCTTAAAACTGTTAAAATGGAAAAAGAAAAGCACTACAGAGAGATTAAGTACAAAATTGTAGGAACTTTCTTGCTTAAAATAAGTATATTTACAGTGATGGTCCGATGGTTCATTGTTCAATGTTCTGACATTTACTCTATCCTTAGTGCAGTCATGAAATAAAAATGACAAAAGCACTAGACAAATTACTAACACTAAAAAAAAAAACAAAAAAAATGAAAACATTAAAACAGAAGCTAATTCTAAATATTAGTAAATACTATAATAGTATATAATTAATACTAAAAATAACACATCTAGTTCATAATAGCAAGAATAAGACCTATCCAGTACTGTTCAGCTCAATCCCATTTCAGCAGATGACAGCTCACAAAGCTATCATATGACTTCAAAAGATGCTGCTGCTTTTAGGGTGTTGTTTACATTTTTTTGTTCATTCATTCAAAGTGCACAGAAAGAAGCGACCTGTACATTATAACAATTTTCATTTTGTGGGAACTATATTATTTAGAGAAGCTTCATATATTATAATATTTCAACAAGTAACATTTTTGAAACATGCTCATACTATCAAAATGACAACAGGGCAATACAGAGGCAGTAAATGTTTATGTAAAGCACACATACATTTTAACTGAAAAATGTGTGTTTACTATTGTCATTTTGCATTATTGACACTATTTTCCTAATTAATGCTGTTCAGTTGCTTTGTCACAATCTGTATTGTTAAAAGCGCTATATAAATAAAGGTGACTTGACTTGACTTGACATACACCCAGGAAGTTAAACAACTACAGAAAGCCCCCTTAAACACAGATTAGCCTACTAATTATCACTGTTTTATCTTTTCAAATGCAAGATTAACAACACAGATACTAACCTGAGCTATCACAACATAAAAAGGGCATCACTGATTCTGCTATATTGTAAAGTCAGTATACACTTCTAGTCTCAGTGTATTATTTGAGCGAGTAAATATGCCTAGATATGATAGAAGCTTCAGTACAGAGGTGAGCCATGCATACAGCAGCTCAGAAATGAGGTCATGCACCTGATTGTGAGGAAAGCCATTCAACCATCATCATTACGTAAGAGCTAGCCAGCACGCTATCCACACCTTATACTTACCATATTACAGATGGAGGCGATGTTCCTGACAGTCATTTAGTTTATAATGTGTCCCTCGTTGCCATCTTTATGAAATAAACATGACTGTAACAGCAGTACACTGACAGGCCAAGCCGCAATCCCAACCGAGGACAGCAATCAGTGACCATTCAATCCCCTCTGCTCATGCAAAGTGCAGACAACGCGAGAGATAAACGTCTGCGGCTTTCATCTAGTTGTTTTCTTCATGGTCACTGCAACTAAGGATAAAAATGCAGAATATATTTATTGTAAACATCTTTGCCAGTTGCACGGACTAAACAAAACATTCACATCCTGGATTAGCGGTCAAACCCCGCCCACTGGGACGCAATTGGTGCATTTGGTGTCTACGACATGAAACGCTGCTCAGTTGATTGACAGATTGAGTCACCAATGAATGTCGAAAACATGCGTTCGAACTATCGGTGTGGCCAATAGAATTTGTAGATGCACAATCCACAACTCCACACAGTACATTCAAACCGCATAAATGAAGTTTGAGGATATTGCAACGCTAAATGATATATTCTCTTTCAATCGGTAATATTTAAGTAACGTTACTCTTGTGCATTCCATACATTTATGCATATAAATAATATTAGGCCCCAGTAGTTTAAATGCGAAAGTATACAAATAATTTCTCGAGTAATAGTTTGTGAACATGGTGTTAGTGTACAGTCTTTTTTTTAAAAACACCGTCTCATATGCCCTGCTGATATTTTACCGCTAGACTGAGATTAGAGTTTAATCTTTTTCCATAACTTTTGAAGTGATTTGTTCATCAATCAGACAGAATCGTCCGAGCGTTTGTAGGAGTCGTTTTTATCTTTGAATGAACTACTAGAAAGAGCCGATTCGCTGGAATGAACGGTAGGCGGTCCTTCCGGTCTTTCCGGTCCTTCCCCTTTAAATATCCCAGAATTCCTCGCACCGGCGGTGGTCACACGTGTTCATTGCCTCTTGCACAAGATCACGCGATCGGTTGGCGACAGCATGAGCGGATGCAGTATGGGTGTTGGTAAGTGTCTTTGTTCAGATATTTGTATAGTTTCTTATTTACCTGAAGATATGCTTTGTTTTACACTTACACGTAAGCACAACATGTACACGTCGAATAGTCAAGTTTAGTTTATCAGAGCAGTTAACTGAGCTTTATAAGTGCATAGAAAGGTAGTAAAATAATTCTCAGAGTAAAACAAAAGATGCTCTATGAAAGTGTTGTACAGCTTGCTGCCAAGCCATGATCATAACTATAGAAATATTAAGTTGTGGCGGAAGGCCATGTGTGGCCTTGGCTCGAGAACGCACGTGGTGAATGTAAGGTCTGTCTGCTGATGTTGATTGCATCTCTTTTCTTTAATAGATTGTCCATCTAAACCCCCTGACTGAAGAAACTTTTTAAAGTTTCCACGTAAGGTAAGGAAGGGTTTAACTATTTTTAAGATTCTCATTCACTAACACAAGCGGTTAGAGAAAGTCTCATTACTGTAGATCTTGCTTAAAGGAAAGCAGTAAAATTAGTATGCTTGTGTATTTTGATTGATTGTGCCCCTTTTTTTTTTTAATGTCTAGGCTCAAATATTGTTTCAGCCATGAGGCTACAGTTGTGCTGAAGAATCCTTCTCTAACTGTTATGTGGTAAGTGATTTAATTACACTATTTCTAGTTTTGTATGCCCCTTTTATTGCACATTCAAGTCCTATTATGTCTTGAATGATCGACACGGGGGGGCTAAATGAAATCTCTCAAAAACCTGAAGTATTGGCTTAATAATCCTTGCTTCGGATCCTGTCGGGAGAAACATTTTTTTGTGTAATCGTTAGCCTTGCTAATTGTGGTAAGATGCTTGCTAATCAGTCTAAATTTGTATTTTGCAGCTAATGGCAGATAATGTAAGAACTACAGTCATTAGGTGAGTAACTTGGTCTCATCAACACTTTCATGCAACCAGTTTGATCTAGTCATGTTCCCTCCTATGCTTTGCCCACTGGAGGCTGTTGGTGTTTCTAGTGGCCATATCAGGGAGGTACAGTGAGCTACTCTTGCTAAAACCTGGGTCAGAGGTCACTTCTCTGTGCCTGGATCCTGTCGCAAGACACATGCAAATATAAGAATTAAATGCAGGCAATGTTTAAGTAACCTGGTTTGTCTGCGTTTAAATTTAATTAAGGTTTTTCCCCTCGACAGATTCCATTGATGGCTTCATTTTGGGGCACATGTATTCGGTGACTGGTTGCTTGTTCATTGGCAGTGATGCAACTTGAGTAGAGCTAATTTTATTGCCATGTTTGGAGAACATCTGAAATGAGTGGTGGTGATTGTTTCTTGTAAACCTGGGCTGTCCAAACTCGGTCCTGGAGGGCCGGTATCCTGCAGAGTTTAGCTCCAACTTGCCTCAACACACCTGACTGGAAGTTTCTATGCCTAGTAAGAGCTTGATTAGCTGGTTCAGGTGTTTGTGTAGGGTTGGAGCTAAACTCTGCAAGACACCGGCCCTCCAGGACCGAGTTTAGACAGGACAGCCCTGTTGTAAGCGGTGTATGTATTGCATAAATGTTTTAGTTATGCATTGATTGTTACCAATAAAGAAAGATGCTTGCTTGTAGGTGTTTTATTTATTTTCTCCTGTTCTTAACCAAGTCATGGATCATGATCTGTAGGGTTGGAGCTAAACTCTGCAAGACACTGGCCCTCCAGGACCGAGTTTAGACAGGACAGCCCTGTTGTAAGCGGTGTATGTATTGCATAAATGTTTTAGTTATGCATTGATTGTTACCAATAAAGAAAGATGCTTGCTTGTAGGTGTTTTATTTATTTTCTCCTGTTCTTAACCAAGTCATGGATCATGATCTTTGGAGGAAGGAATTTCAAGTCTTAGCTATGACTTGAGTATTTAGCATGGGTTCTATGCCTTTTATTTCCTTGGAAGAAACCTCTGCAAATGTTAACTATTTAGACTGATCCGTCTAAGTGTTTAGAGGTTGATCTACTGATGCTTTGGTGTCATTCAAATGGGAGATTTGTAAATCAAATCGGTTTAGAGTTGAATCACTAGTATCTCCACGTAAGACAACGTGGTTTTAAAATTCTAGAGTCAAATGTGTTTAAGTGATCAGATTGTCCTTTTGCTGGAGGATGTAGTGGTTTTTACTTGATTTTACTTTGTAACCTGGCTGTTACGCTATATTGGTGATTCTGCATGTTAACAATTAAATTATTTTAGAATTAATACTATTACATAGACTCAACAATATGGAGAATTTGAAACCTCATCATGCTTGGTTTTTGCACTTGCTGAATTTTGTTGGGTTCAGCAGTAATTGGCACCATACAAAGGATGCAGTGTGTGGACTGCATAAACCATATTTATAATTTCAACTGAACCTGTAGTGTAATCTGCAGTGGCAATACTATCTGAAGGATGTAACTTTTCTATAATCATACATGGTTTGCTGTTGTATGCACCAAAAACAGCTGCATTTTTTTCATTGTTTTTCCTTGCTATGGTTGACCGTCAGAACTGACCCATGACCCATTTTTGGAACCTGAGCCACTGCTGAACTAGTGATGTAAGTTTCAATGCAGATGTTACAATACCAGGACTTCTGAATTTCAGCACCCAATAAGGGGATATTAAGAACATTATCTAACTAACAGCTCCAGAGCTGCATAGCACAGCCGCTTGGAAAGAATGGAAAGCGCCTGTTGTACAACACAGAGCTCTGACATATGGCCATATAGGTAAGTCCCTTCTGTGTAGTACCCTCTTTTGTTTCAAAGCATTCTATTGGCTAGTGCTGCAAATCAGTACAAAACAAACAAAATGACTAAATTTGCTGGTGAATATTTCACGATAGTACTAGAGTATTTAATAAGACAATGTATGAACATGATTCATAAACCTCATTTCATTGCTGGGTGTTTCTTCATCTATGGCCATTAACTATTTAATTTGTAAATTTATAATGTCCAAAAGTAGGCATGCATGCATTATAGGAGCTTTCTGTCACATTTGTCATTTTTTGCCCTGTAAAATTCATAAAATTTAATAAATGAAATGACAATAAAAAGGGTTGTCATGTTAAATAACATTATATATATGATGTTCCTGTGGCTCAGTGGTAGAGCATTGCATTAGCAGTGCAAAAGATCGTGGGTTCAATTCCCAGGGGGCATACATACTGGTAAAAAATGTATAGCCCGAATGCACTGTAAGTCGTTTTGGATAAAAGCGTATGCTAAATGCATAAACTATTATTATTATTAAATTATTCATGCTCAATAAATTTGATTTAAAAAAGGAACATAATGCATTTGTATGCATGCTTCATTCTGTGTTGACGCAAGTTTTCTAGAGGGAGGTATAACTGACGACACCATGGAAAATTATATTAAGACAGAATGAACTGATGTCTGCATAACTGAATGACACTAGTTTGGTTATCTAACATGCAGGGTGAAGTGCAATTTATGGGCACAGAAGTGATTAATGGCTAAATTACACAGACTGATTCTTTAGTTCAGACTGGTTCTTTTACCATTTTATGCGTTATGAATTTCACTGTGATTGAAGGAACAGACGGGAGGAAGAGGAAATTACATAAAAAATGATGGTAATGGAGATGTTACTTAAGGGAGTGAACAATGACTTTTTTTCCTTTGAGGAAACCACAGGTTTTGCACAAATGCATGAGCACAGCACCCAAACTCTTTAAGATTCAGCATGCCTCTGCACAGGAAGAAAACTATTCTACTATTCATTCAAGGAACGATACTATATTTTGAATTTCTTGCCACAGAGGGCTAGTGATGGGCAGATGCAGCTAATGATGGATGTTGCAGAATATTCCAATGGTCTGTTTTAAATTATTCATGCTCAATAAATTTGATTTAAAAAAGGAACATAATGCATTTGTATGCATGCTTCATTCTGTGTTGACGCAAGTTTTCTAGAGGGAAGTATAACTGACGACACCATGGAAAATTATATTAAGACAGAATGAACTGATGTCTGCATAACTGAATGACACTAGTTTGGTTATCTAACATGCAGGGTGAAGTGCAATTTATGGGCACAGAAGTGATTAATGGCTAAATTACACAGACTGATTCTTTAGTTCAGACTGGTTCTTTTACCATTTTATGCGTTATGAATTTCACTGTGATTGAAGGAACAGACGGGAGGAAGAGGAAATTACATAAAAAATGATGGTAATGGAGATGTTACTTAAGGGAGTGAACAATGACTTTTTTTCCTTTGAGGAAACCACAGGTTTTGCACAAATGCATGAGCACAGCACCCAAACTCTTTAAGATTCAGCATGCCTCTGCACAGGAAGAAAACTATTCTACTATTCATTCAAGGAACGATACTATATTTTGAATTTCTTGCCACAGAGGGCTAGTGATGGGCAGATGCAGCTAATGATGGATGTTGCAGAATATTCCAATGGTCTGTTTAAGCGTTTCATGATTGGCGAGTTTTCACTTGCTGTGGTGTACTTGTGAATCACTTACAATAGACACATAAACAATTAAGATGTCTGGAAACCCTGTGCCTCAGTACAAGTTGTTTTTAATTGGCTTGATTGAGTAATGGACCATAATTATGAACCATTGTGGATTTTGTTCTTCTAAACGTTGTGAATGTAGCTTTGCACTCTGAGAGTAACAAACACATGAAATTTAAACCCAAACAAGAATATTGTGATCTATTTTTGATTGAAGAGTTGGGCCATATTCACAGGAATACAATTGGATATGAACAGAGTGCCAGTCGACTGTCTTCCAGGTCCGTGTCTGGTTACTTTGATGTGACCCAGATGTGAAATGTGATTCAGGGTTAGACAGTACGGGCCACATTCAGGCAGAGCTACATGTTTTTTGGCAGAGAGAACTGTTCCTGAGGAATGGGGTTTCAGGGCTGAACGACTTGGGACGTTTTTCAGAGAGGAACGACAAGATGTGTTTGGATAACACAGCAGTGAAAAACTACTACCCTTCATCAAGGGGTGCCACAGCAAGTATGTTTATATACAGGCTCCTTTGTTTTGGATGCCCCAACATGAGATGTTGGTATGCTTGGTCATCCAGTTTCATCAGAAAGACATTTTTTACTGGACCAGCTAGACTGAACTAGCATAAACCAGCTTGTACCAGGCATCACATAAATAAAGTCTTTCACTGTCTCTAATACAGAAACATACTTCCTCCTTTCCCGCTCGCTGTCCTTCTATCTGTCCCTTTGTGTTTCTCTCACATGAATGATGATCGCTTTCATCTAGTGCAACCCACAGTTTTACATATTCTCTGTCAAACGCACACACAAGCCCTTTGAAGTTTGCTGGTAAATGGAGAAAAAGCTTTTTGACCTTCTCCAGGTCACTGATGGAACAAACCCTGTTGAAAAAAACAGCATATGCTGGTTAGGTAAGTTTTGATGCTGGGATGCTGGTTTAAGCTGGTCCTTTGCTGGTTTTAGCTGGTTTATGCTGGTCCTTTGCTGGTTTATGCTGGTCCTTTTTCTGGTTTATGCTGGTCATGTGCTGGCAAAGGACCAGCACAAACCAGCAAAAGGACCAGCTTAAACCAGCAAAGGACCAGCTTACACCAGCATCCCAGCGTCAAAACATACCTAACAACCCATGGCATGCTGGTTTTCCAACAGGGAAGAGCTGAATTATGTAGGATACTTTTACATTTCTCAGGACAAAACAAAAATTCATCTCACTCAGTGGATCTTTGTCAGACATACACACATTTCACCTCATCTTGCTCTAGCAGAGGTATATGGCTGGGCAGACAGGATATGTGTGTAGACAGACGCCATACTGTTCTTTAAACTGTTTTGTTTCACTTTTTCAGACTGATATGAACCAGGTTTCTTTGTCACATTTAGCATACTTCGGCAATACTAGTAGTGTAAGTAGTGTGAGCAGTATATTCACACTCAGATGATGTAGGCCACAATACTGGCCTGAGAAAATATTGTTTGGAACTTTTATGAAGAAAACAGCATCTTACAAATAAGTTTAATGCTTTATCATCACCTCATATTGTGTGATTTATTTGCATGTACAAAATGCACAAACATGAATGATGATCGCTTTCATCTAGTGCAACCCACAGTTTTACATATTCTCTGTCAAACGCACACACAAGCCCTTTGAAGTTTGCTGGTAAATGGAGAAAAAGCTTTTTGACCTTCTCCAGGTCACTGATGGAACAAACCCTGTTGAAAAAAACAGCATATGCTGGTTAGGTAAGTTTTGATGCTGGGATGCTGGTTTAAGCTGGTCCTTTGCTGGTTTTAGCTGGTTTATGCTGGTCCTTTGCTGGTTTATGCTGGTCCTTTTTCTGGTTTATGCTGGTCATGTGCTGGCAAAGGACCAGCACAAACCA